GGGAGGAATAAGAAAATACAATTTATTGCTTTTCTTCATAAAAAGAAACACGAGGAAAAAATATGGAGTTGGATACCTACAAGGGGCGGGTAATGGGGCAGAAATGATGTGAGAGGAAGCGACACTACTCTCAACCTTTTGCTATAGTTTTGATTTTTGGAATCATGTTAATATTCTATATATTAAAAAATTCTATATATTAAATCAATAAAGATAGGAAATGGAGGGGAGAGGAACCTTAAAACTGAAAGCAAACTGAAACAAATAAGCCCACTTGTATTTCAAACAAATAATATAATCATGTTGCTGTTGGGTGTCCTCGAGTCAGTTCCGACTCATATACATAGCGACCCTGTGTACTACAGAATGAAATATTGCCCAGTCCTGCACCATTCTCACAATTGTTGTTATGCTTGAGCCCACCATTGCAGCCACTGTGTCAATCCATCTCATTGAGGGCCTTCCTCTTTCACTGACCCTCTATTTTACCAAGCATGATGTCCTTCTCCAGGGGCTGATCCCTCCTGAGAACATGTCCAAAGTTATGTGAGACGTAGTCTCGCCATCCTTGCTTCTAAGGAGCATTCTTGCTGTACTTCTTCTAAGACAGATTTGTTTGTTTTTTGGCAGTCCACGGTGTATTCAATATTCTTCGCCAGCACAATTCAAAGGTGTCAGTTCTTCGGTCTTCATTCATTCTCCAGCTTTCACGTGCATATGATGTGATTGAAAATACCATGGCTTGAGTCAAGCGCACCTTAGTCTTCAAGGCGACATCTTGGCTTTTCAACACTTTAAATGGTTCTTTTGCAGCCGATTTGCCCAAAGCAATGCATCTTTGGATTTCTTGGCTGCTGCTTCCATGGGTGTTGATTGTGGATGCAAGTAAAATGAAATCCTTGACAACTTCAGTCTTTTCTCTGTTTATCATGATGTTGCTCATTGGTCCAGTTGTGAGGATTTTTGTTTTCTTTATGTTGAGGTGTAATCCATACTGAAGGTTGTGGTCTTTGATCTTCATCAATAAGTGCTTCAGGTCCTCTTCACTTTCAGGAAGCAATGTTGTGTCATCTGCATAATGCAGGTTGTTTATGACTTTTTCCTCCAATCCTGATGCTCAGTTCTTCTTCATACAGTCCAGCTTTTCAGATTATTTGCTCAGCATACAGATCGAATAGCTATGGTAAAAGGATACAACCCTGACACACACCTTTCCTGACTTTAAACGATGCGGTAACCCCTCGTTCTGTCGGAACTACTGCCTCTTGATCCATGTACAGGTTCCCCATGAGCACAACCAAGTGTTCTGGAATTCCCATTCTCTGCAATGTTATCCATAATCTGTCACGGTCCACACAGTGGAATGCCTTTGCATAATCAATAAAATACAGGTAAACATCTTTCTGGTGTTTTCTGCTTTCAGCCAGGATCCATCTGACATCAGCAGTGATATCCCTTGTTCCATGTCCTCTTCTGAATCCAGCCTGAATTTCTGGCAGTTCCCTGTGGATATACGGCTGCAGCTGCTTTTGAATGATCTTCACCAAAATTTTATTGCATGTGGTATTAATGATATTGTTTGATAATTTTTGCATTTGGTGGGATCACCTTTCTTGGGAATAGGCATAAATATGGATCTCTTCCAGTTGATTGGCCAGGTAGCTGTCTTCCAAATCTCTTGGCATAGATGAGTGAGCACTTCCAGTGCTGCATCCGTTTTTTGAAACATCTCAATTGATATTCTGTCAATTTCTGGAGTCTTGTTTCTTTGCCAATGCCTTCAATGCTGCTTGGACTTCTTCCTTCAATACCATCGGTTCCTGATCATATGTTACCTCTTGAAATGGTTGAACATTGACCAATTCTTCGGGGTATAATGACTCTGTGTATTCCTTCCATCTTCTTTTGATGTTTCCTGCATCGTTTCCAATCCTTCACTACTGCTACTCCAGGCTTGAATTTTTTCTTCAGTTCTTTCAGCTTGAGAAATGCTGAGCATGTTCTTCCCTTTTGGTTTTCTATCTCCAGATCTTTGCACATGTCATCATAATACTTTGTCTTCTCAAGCCGCTCTTTGAAATCTTCTGTTTAGCTTTTTTACTTCATCATTTAATATAGTGAAGAAGAAAATGAATTAATCCAAGTCATTTATTAATATATAATGTAACTATATAGCCTTAGTTTTGGGCAGGGTACAGGCAGGGAGAAAACTGTAAACAAATCTTGATCTAAGTTTATTTTTTCTAACGATATGGCCAAAGCAGTTCCAAACTACTATAGGATTGAGCAAGTGAATAAATGAGTTGATTTTTGAGGGGAATCAAAATTCTGAGGCAGAAGAGACAGAGAAATGGAATGGAAAAGGCAAGAATCTTTTGGAGGTATTGTGAAGTCATGATTTCTGAAATTATACTTAATGTGTATGTGAGCACATGTAATTGTATGTGTGCATGCATATTTGTGTGTGCATGTGTATATACATGAATGTTTCCTGGTTGTTTGCCGAACAGCCCTGGAAGCAGACACCCCAGTAGCCGTAAACACACCTAGCACCCATATCTTGGTGTCTATTATCATTCCCCAGGGTTCTTTGTAGAAACTGCTGATTCCAGATTCTGGAAGATTTTTTCAACCAGATTATAAGTGCCAAAAAAAAAAAAAAAAGGAGATTTAGACAGTATATGCCATAAGGACATAGGAGTCAGTTTGAAGGAGCTCCAACTGGCCAAATCTGAGACAATTTAAGCACCAAAATAATGAACTATAAACCATTGAAAATAAAATAGAAAACCTTGAGTCTATACCAATAACAGATATAAGAGTTTAAGTGGATAAACACAGATAGATGGATGATGGAGAAGGGAGGGCACTTGCTTATAGTAGAATGCTGAGTGTCAACTGGTATATGCAGAAGCAATACTGAAGTTGGAAAATCACCATTTTGCAACCATCATAGTAAAGACTGAATAAACAAGAATTATCAATGAACATGCTAAATCCTAGGAGAAAATGTTCGTGTTAGCTTGTACTTAAATGTCTCCTACAGATTCCTTATTAGTTGCAAAGTGAAAAATAACTGTATTACATTGGAGAAACTAAACACCACCTTGACCAGGTAACCAAAATGAACATCACCAATAAGAACAGCTGGACATTATGTGCCTTCAGATATGATCATACTTTGACGACACAATATCATCTAGGTAGCATTCTGACCAAGAACGCATAATCTATATATATATAATCATGAAAAAAAACACAAGACAAACTCAAAATGAGGAACACGCTAATAAAAAGGGGCAGAGGGGTGAGAAGACTATTTTTCAAAAATACATCAATGTCATAGAAGACAAAGAAAGCCATGGAAATTAAGGATTAGAGACTTATAAAAAATGACAACTAAATGCAATACCTGATCCTAAACCGGGTGCTGTACTGGAGGGAAAATGAATGCTATAAAGGTCATTATTGAATCAACTGAAAAATTTAGAATACTGACAGTAAATTTAAAAAAGCATTGTATCAATATTAAATTTACTGAAGTTTATAACCATACTATGTAAGAATATCCCTATTTTTGGGAAATACAAACTACGTACAAATAGTACAAGAAAAAAAAGTACGTGTAGACAAAGGGAGGGCAAGTGAACAAGCAAATGATGACACAAAAAGGGTAAAATGGTAACAATGGGTGAATCTGGGTAAAAGTTACATGGGTGTTCTTTGTATTATTATTCTTGCAAATTCTATAAATTTGAAAATTTTACATATAAAAGTTTAAAAAATTAAAAGGGACTGATGTTGGGTTGCCAACCTCATGTTTTGCCTAATAAGGTTTTACATTAAAGCACAATCATAATTTAAAAAAAGAACCACCATGTACTAGTCTTTTTTTTTTTTTTTTTTTTAAGTATGAGGGGGCATTTTAAACATCTGAAACATAACAATACTCTCCAAATAAAAGGATGATTTGAACCACCAACCCTTTGGTTAGCAACCGGTGTGTTAACTGTATGCACCACCAAAAGATTCCGTATTGGTGTTAGGAAACAAGCATTCTAAACAAAGTACCTTTTTGGCAATGGAGGGAGTACCGTGGAAAGAGCATAGTCTGGAGACAAATGCTGAATTCAAATTCTGGCTCCAGCAGTTATCAGCTGTGTATCTTAAGCTCTCCAAGCCAATTTGTAAGGTAGATAGCCAAATCTCGACTGTTAAAGAGAATTAAATGAAAGAAATGTATCTAGAATAGTGCTTGACACAGGGAAGGTGCTTAACAAATGTCTCCTTCTTTTCCTTTCTACTGGAGCTACCTTTCTGTTTTCTGGAGATGTGTCTGTCTAGGGCTACAATGGCCCTTCCACATTCACTCAAACCCTGGCTCACTAAAATTATGTAAGAAACATATCCTGAGCATAAGCCTTCTTTCTGGAAGTATATTTCATTATAATAGAAGCCAGAGATATTGGATAGTGGGATGGAAAGATTGAAGGCTTATAAAAACAGGTGATTTGGGGCATGGGTGGTAACTGTGGTGAGTTCTGGTAAGGAGGGTAAATCAGTAGGAGGACAACAGAAGTTTTGGGTTATGTTAGAAAAAGCTGCTATTGAAAAACAAAAAAAAAAAATAGTATCTTATTTCTTCATATATTCGCCAAGTCTATTTTGCAAATGACTATCCATCTACTTCCAAAGTGAATGATAATTTATCCCCAAAATAGTAAAGATCAACAATTCTATTTGTTTTATTGGCTCTGTATCTTTGAAGAAAAAAAATCAAGTCAGTAAACCTTCCATAAACTGTGATATTTCATCAAATTCTCTATTGGTTTTTGCTTCTTTCCAAATATTTCCTGTTTATATTTACCAGAATGATTCCTTTATATTGCCAAGGAGAGTTAATGCTTCAAAAATAACTAAATCACATTACAGTAAAAAAAAAAAAAAAAGCGTATTGCCAACAGAAATTTAGTTTAACATTTAAAAATCTTTACAAAAGATGAACATACTCTGATTTTTTCCTTTATCATAAATGAAAAGTGAAATCATCACTTAGCATGAATACTTGATTACAATTTCCTTAAAAATTCTCTATTGTGAAACAAAGCTATACATATTTAAAGAGTGTATATAATAATAACACTCATGATAATTTCAAACCAACTAGCCATTGGTATAGCTTCAAATTACTAACTGTGGCCATTTTTTGGGAAAAAAATGTACAATGCTTATTAGGGCCTAGCATACCAGAAACACTTAATTTCTCAGAGTCAAATCTACATTGTCACAGAGTTCAAAAAGTGGCATTACAGTGCGAAGACACCACTAAACTACCAGCCCTTTCTCACAAGTCTTAAAACAAGCTGAAAACAATGAAAAAATATTAAGTACCTCATATGTAATAACTAATGCAAATATTTCCATTGACTAATTTTTGCCCAAAGTGATAAAGGGCAAAAAATAGGAATTCTTGTTGCTAATAAGATCCCGTTAGAAGTTCTTTAGATATTACACCAAGTTGTCTAGGTCTTCTGATCGTTCACACACACACACTTTTTCAAGTAAAGAAATATTTAACAGATGTAAACTATTTATTGAATATTTGCCACCAAATATTGTTAAATACATTATCTTGCAGCATATCGCTTTCAAGTTAAAATGTCAGAAACAAACACCAATATTTACAATTCTTTTAAGGAATGTTATATAATGACACATTAAGGCGTAAATTCTTTTGGCTTATAATTCTTAAAAGAATGATAATAGCAAAAGTGATGCAAAATCTTCAGTGTGAGATTATGATTAAGCTACATTTTACAAAAATATGGTGTAAGATGGCAATAATCCCATTCAACATCCTACATTAGGTCCCTTCAAGAGGGACTGATAATTTATACAGTCAAACTTTAAAATTTACAGATAAAGGCAGTTCAATACTGCCACTGAGAAGTACATCTCTTAACATATACAACTTTCAGGCCACAGTTTTGAAGGTCTGAAGTATCAAGTTGGTTTGATGAATAAGTCGGTTGGCACTTATGAACACATTTATTGCCCTGTTAAAAACAAAAACAAACATTAATTTCACAAAAAAAAAATTACTTTTTAAAAATATTAATAATGTCATCTATTAGTAGGAATTAAATCAATTTATTATGATATGAAAAGAACAAAAAAACAAATTAGTATTGACTTTCATAGCTTTTATTACAGTTTGGAATTTATTGGCCCAATATCATTTGAGAATATCTAGGAATTACTGCCCCCTGGTGGTTCTGGCTAGCAATACGGTGTTGGAGGGCTGCTACTGATAGGTGGCGCCTCAACAACCAGAGTTCATTTATAGGTGGAACAAATGACTGGCCAGCAAGGAGGATCCAGACGTGGTCTCTGGCTGTGGTTTCATAGAAGTTACCACAATAAAATCGCTAAAGTATTACACCCAGTCTCAAAATCTGGAGATCAAAGGACATGATGAACACATAGGAAAAAGTTAATTAGCTCTAATCTGATTCATCCCAAACCTTACTTGAAGGAAAAAAAAAAAAAAGTGAGTTCTAAACTATGTTTAGAATTAATCTACTTCTAAAACAAACAAAAAATCTATTTTTAAAAATGGCTTTGTTCTCTACCATACTCTCCTAACAGTCCATTTTACAGGACTGGAGCACAGAGCTGATGCCTAGTCTCACTGTGTGGCCTTATCAGTTTCTCTTGGTAACACAGCTAAAGCTTGCATCTTCATCTGAGACGATTTTCAAAGGGCAGGGACCAGGAAGAATTAGTTGAATCAATGCAAATTCATTCTCCTATTGAAAGACGGCTTACAGGTCAGACTCTGTTAATACTTTTCAGTTTTGAGGAATGAGCAGGTAAAAAACTGGTAGCACATTATTCATATACAAAGAAGAGCAATTTAAGAAGCTGCTCACTGGAGAAAAAGTAGTAGCAGGGGGCCTGAATAATACATATGCAGGGTAAAAAACTTGAGATTAATGAAAAGTAGGCTGTAAATGAATTTCTACCTTTCAATGTGCTAATTCTATTATAGTTCTCATTAATTAGAATCAGAAATAATGATCCTATTATGTAAATTATTATTTTAATGTGTTTTTGGTTAGCTGGACTCAGCACGGGAGATTCGGGAAAAAAAGATGTAAGTTTATTTTCAGAACACACCTGCTAAGTTATTAAACATAAGTCATCAAGGAGCATTTCCCCTAGACGACCTGAATAATAGTATAGAGCAACAACACAAAACTTAATAAAATTTAGCTCAGTATCTTTAATTCATAAATATAAATATTTCAACCTGTTTACACTGTTAAAAATAAAAATTAAGAGAAAACCGTTCTAATATTTTGTTACTGCAAAACATTATTACAATAATATTGCAATGATGTGACATGCATATAGGGATATTAAAACTTCAATAGTAGGACAGGATGTTTGAGGTCCCTATCGATTATGGCTGAAATAATCATTGTCTAGATTATTTTTTCTGACCTCAAGCACTATGAGAAAAATGGTCTTCTCCACAAAATTCTTAGCATTCTACTTGAGGTACAAAGAACTCCCAGTGTGGTCCAATGCTACAGAAAACAAGCTCACTTCATCAGCTCATGCATTATATGCACATGTGTGTATGTATGTAAAAACATACATAAAAAATACATTTCTCTCTAGTTACAAAACTTATCTATGGTCACTAGAGAAAATATGAAAGAAAAAATGAAAATAAAAATTAGACATAATTCTACCAGCAATAGTTGTTGTTAAATATTTTGTTGCCTTTCCTTCTAGCCATTTTTCTATTAGCATGCACTTTAGAAGAATCTTTTGGTTTTCTGTAGTAGTGTCTTACAAACGACCATATGTAAATTTAAAAATAATGTCCAATTTACATTTTGAATACACTTCCTTTCTTACAGAGTAACCCTGTAAAAGCCAATTTAATTGGGTTGTCTTTTTGTTGTTGAGATTTTGCAGTATCTTGTAGATTTTAGAGATTAGATGCTGATTGCATTTGTCCTAGCCAAAAATTTTTTCCCAGTCTATAGGTTGTCTTTTGACTCTTTTGGTGGAGTCTTTTGATGAGCATAAGTGTTTGATTTTTAGGAGCTCCCAGTTATCTAGTCTCTCTTCTGGTGCTTGTGCATTGTTACTTATGGTTCGTATTCTGTCTATGCTATGTATTAGGGCTCCTAGCGTTTGTATTTTTTTTTTTTTTAATTGTACTTCAGGTGAAGGCTTACAGAACAAAGTTTCTCATGAAACAGTAGTACACGTATTGCTTTATGACATTGCTTAACAACCCCACAACATGTCAACCCTCTCCCTTCTCGACCTTTTTTTTTTTGGTGAAAATATACATAGCCAAAGATAGACCATTTCAAAAATTTCTACATGCACAGTTCAGTGACATCAACTACGCTCTTCCAGTTGTGCTGCTATTCTCACTTTAGATGAAGGCTTACAGAACAAAATAGTTTCTCATTTTACAGTTAGTACACATGTTGCCCTATGACAATGGTTAACAACCTCACAACACATCAACACTATCTTTACTCAACCTTGGGTTCCCTATCACTAGCTTCCTTGTCCCCTTCTGCCTTCTGGCCCTTGTCCCTGGACTGCTGTGCCTCATTAGTCCCATTTGGTTTTATGGGGCTGTCCACTCCCAGGCTGAACGGTGAACCTCAGAGATGACTTACTTCACCACTGAGCTAAAAGGGTGTCTGGGGGTCATACTCTTAGGGTTTCTCCAGTCTCCTTTAGGCCAGTAAATCTGGCCTATTTTTTTTGAGTTAGAATTTTGTTCTACATCCTTCTCCAGCTCTGTCCAGAACCCTCTATTGTGATCCTGGTCAGAGCAGTCAGTGGTGGTAGCCGGGCACCATCTAGCTGTACTGGACTCAGTCTGGTGGAGGCCTTGGTAGCTGTGGTCCATTAGTCCTTCGGACTAATCTTTTCCTTGTGTCCTGTTCTCTTCATTCTCCCTTGCTCCCGAAGGGATGACACCAGTGGAGTATCTTAGATGGCTGCTCACAGGCTTTTAAGACCCCAGACGCTACTCACCAAGGTAGAATGTAGAACATTGTCTTTATAAACTGTCCTAGCGTTTGTAAAAGCCAATTTAGCTTACTTCCTTCCAGGAGCGTGGATCACAACCCTTGCCCAAGAATGAGAACCACTGCTGTAACTTTAGCAGTCTTTGCCAACAGACCTACAGAATTAGTATCACCAGAATGTCTTAAAAATGCAAATTCTTGGGTCCCTCCGCAGACCTATTGAATAACTTTAAATATTTAAACCTGGGATGGGACCTGAGTAACTTGTGTTTAACAAGCCCTCCAGGTGATTCTGATGCCACTCAAGTTTGAGAACCATTGAATCAGGGATCAGTTAAGTAGGCCAGTAAGCCAAGTCTGACTGACCCTGTTTTTGTATGGCCTACAAGCCCAGAATACTTTTTACGTTTTAAATGGTAGGAAAAAACATCAAAGGAAGAATACTACTACATGACAGGTGAAAATTATACAGGATTCAAATTTCGGTGTCTATTAAACTTTTAGTAGAGTACACACCCATTTGTTTCCATCTTGTCTATGGCTGTTTTTGCACGACAACAGCAGAGGTGAGATGAGTGGGCCCACAAAGCCTAAAATATTTACCATCTGGTCCTTTTCAGAAAACGTCTGCCAACCCCGGCTCCAAACTAGAGCTATGGCTGGATTAACAACCACTCACTTTCTATTTTGAACAGTCTACCTTAGTTACTAGTTTCCTTGAGTATTAACAATATAACCAGTTGCCCACAAGTCAACTCTTGCTCGTAGCAACCCCACAGAATCGGGCTCCATAGAGTTTTCATTTTTTTTTTTCAATTGTAAAAATGTTTTCATTTTTCTCTTTAGTTTCACTAAATCAACTCAAAAAATTATTTAATTATTTGATATCTTCTGTTGTTTTCTTTAAATACTTTATTGTGTTTTTGGTGAAGGTTTACACAGCAGTTTAGGTTCCCATTCAGTTTCTACACAAATCGTTCAGTGACACTGGTTACATTTTTCACAATGTATGAACATTCTCATTATTTCTGTTCTGGTTGTCCCATTTCCATTAACCTAGTTTCCCTGCACCCCTTATCTTTTCGTCTTTGCATTAATCATTGATGGTTTGGTCAGATACAGATGACTTTTTAAAGGAGCACAGTACTCCCAGGTAATATTCTTTAGTTTGTAAGCCAATCTGTTACTTAGCTAAAAGGTGACCTCAGAGGCTAGTTTCGTTTCAAGATTTAAAGATCTCAAGGCAATAATCTCAGGGAGTCCTCTAGTCTCAGCTGGTCCAGTCAGTCTCAATTTTTTAAGAATTTGAGGTTCTTTTCACATTTTTTCTCCCATTCTGTCCGGGTCCATCTATTGTGGCCCTGATCATCCACAGGGTTTTTAATGGCTGATTTTTTGGAAGTAGATCACCAGGACTTTCTTCCAAGGTGCCTCTGGGTGGACTTGAACAGTCAACCTTTTGGTTAGCAGGAGAAAGCTTAACCATTTGTACCACCCAGAGACCCTAATAATATAATAATTTATTTATATAGTTTTAATGTCATATAAAACCACATAACTTATTCCATTTTAAAAGAAGAGCAAGATAAATGACAGTACTTACTTGCCATCTTTAAAATAGGTTTTCAGAGTATCACTGAAACTTTTGGAGTACTTTACAAATTCTTTCTTTTGGTGTTCAAGTGCCTACACACATCAAAACAAATAGTAATAAAATATCACTAAATAAAATAACACAAAAGCCAAAATCAAACACAGAAGATTACATAGAATACAGAATGGACTTTATATTATAGATAAGCATTTTTAGGATTATTTATTTAAACACATGTAATAAACAGCATATTTAATTCAAGGGCAAACCCAATTTCATTCAAGGGCTAACCCATTTAATTCAAAGTACAAAACTACTTCAGTGATCAAACCCTCTTAGTATTTAATTCAATAAAACAACGGAGTGCAAACCAACACCTAGGTTGGCAATTAGAAAGGCTTCTGCTTAAACTCACCCTGCGATTCTGGTATTGGTATTTCTTGAAGACATTATTCACTGTATCAAGAAGTTCTTTTATTGCACTAGCTATATCCCTGTTGGGAAATAAAAAAAGAATTTTTTTTCAAAATTAGCTACATTTGAAAGTTTGTGTGTGTGTGTACATATTTAAGAATTACTAATGACAGTATACTACTAATTACCATAGGTATGCTGTGCCAAGGGCAAACATTTGGCTAGATGGCTGGAGTGGGGGTTTCAGCCTGTACCCTTCTGTGATTCTAACTTCTCTTGCACTGCTGGCCAAACACTGCCAACTAACACCAATTTTCACAAATCAGTAACATTTTATTCAGTATTACTTACTCAAATTTATAACAAGGGAAGCATAGCTCTGCCTTTGTTTTTTCCAGTTCCGATTTTTCCTTTCTCTGGCTAACACAGCTGAACTCAAGCAGCTATATTCTCTTTTGATATTTAATGAAAAATCTTATGAAATTTTGCATGCAACACATTTCTTATTTACTAACACTTCAAGTTTCATACCTAACAGTTGTGATGTTCAAAATATTTCCTCCTCAAACATCGCTCTCCTCTCTTAGACACAGCTCTCTTCTCTTTAGACACACTTCCCTTCAATCTAGTCAGTGAGTATCCTCCTCTTTCAAACCTTTGCTGTCACTATTTCCTTTGGAAAATATATTTAAATTGCTGGGAGAGACAATATCAGAATATTCTTCTACCTTAACCTTTCCAGCAATCATCCTTTGACTATATATGCATCAACACCTCCTCTCCTTTCTAAAGAGAGAAAAAGAAAAAACATATAATTTTCATGAGTCGACTTTTCTTCCTATCCAAGAGCTTTTCTTGTCTTTTATATCTATGCCCTTTTCAATTTCCACATCCTAACTTCACAGCAATTTTTTTTCCTGTCAAACTGAACTTTATGTAATTCTGCATTCTCGAATAGCCTCACATTTTCTAAGGCAAGTCTCCTCCTTTCCACATCCATTTTCTTAGCTGTCAACTGCTACAAACCATTTTCTGCTCAAATATAATGCAAGTATAAAAACCCAAGCCATCCCAAACATAACCTTTTACTACTGACTTTAGTGCAAATGTCAGATTTCAGTTATTTCATATCTAAAACATTGCAACTTTACCATTAGGGGAGGAAAAAAAAAAAAGCTCAGTTTCCAGATTTATGTGCATGTGTAAATAAGCATATGGAAATTCTAAGAATTACAGATGGAAGGATTTTGGTATATAAAAAAAGCATTTTAGCCTATTCTGAAATAGCAGGGGTATTTTTATTCAATATTTCAATGAGTGTATATTTATTAGCTACTGCATGTCAAATACTGGTCTTAAACTAGTAAAGAATGTCTGCCTTGAGGATTATACTCTTTTAATAACCATCTACATGGGATCAAAGTGACAACAGCAACTCTAAAGATTAGATAGAAACGTTTGCGGCAGTGAGTTTATGTTAATGGAAGAGGAACAACTCAGAAAAGGAGGGTGAGAATGATTGCACAACTGGAAGAATGTAATCAAGCTCACTGAATTGTACATGTGGAAACAGCTGAATTAGTGTAAGTTTTGCAGTGCACATTTTCAACACCACCAAAACAAAATTTTTTACAAAGTGTTTAATGAAAAAAAATCTGCATTAAGCTGAAACATGAAAATATTACTCAAGCAGGACAATAAGTTTTACATAAAAATGACATCCGTCCACTCATATTTTTGCTTCTAGTTTAGTAACAGAAGTTTTAAGTTATATAACTGTTCCTTTCGCTCACGGTTTCAAGCAAGTTGAATCCTTCTGTATTGCTGTGATGGGCATAAATCCATCACTGGTTAAAAAAATGATGTCATATTAAATTCTATTAGCTGAGAAAAAACTACAATTTCAACAACAACAAAAAAGTCAAATCTCTGAGTATTCAAGGTTCTTCTAAACCCACAACAAGGGCTATTTAAAATGGAATATAATGCAGCAAATTACACAGTGATCAGGCAATTAGTTGTTTATACACAGCTCACTTTGCAATATACTTTAATATTCTGCTAAAAAAGGGACTATGAAAATGCGCTCTCAGGGCTAGTCGACAAGATGAGCACATGGTCCAAGTACAATATTAAAGGCAGGATTCCATACATCAGAAGAGCAGTTCTCAAACTGGCTGCTCCATCACTCACCTAGCGCGCAAAACAAAAAGGGGGGGTGGATGCTTGCTGGGTCCTACCCAAGACTTACTAATGAACCCTTTGGGAATCCGTCTGTACCTTAAAATAAAAAAAAAGGTTCTGCTGATGAGCCAGGTTTGGCAATAACTGTTTGGGAACATGGAGCTAAAGTTAGATCCATCACTGTCCACAGAGCTTTATGAAGAACTCTATCACTCAAGGCTGTATAACCCTAGGCCTAGCCTTCTGTTTGACATGAGGCGAAAGACTGTTAATGACCTATCAAGTTGTTGAAAAATTTTCTCTAAAAGCAATCTGTAACAATTTATATGTCAACTAGTATATTATCCACATGTACCCAGAACAGCATTTCATTTATAACAGCAAGGTTTCCAGTAGAACAGCTAAGTTATATTAGTAGCCACCTGAGAGCTTATTCCCTACAAGAGAAAAATACCAGCATAAAAAAATACTTCAGACAATTAAACAGGTAAAATATCTGTGGAAAACTTGGTAAAATACCTATAATGTAACTATGCACAGTCTGGAGTAGATGGGTTCTGCGATAAGGGACACATAGTGTGCGTATAGTGGAAGGGAATTTAACAGTTTGCAGCTGTTTGGTGGGGCAACTTTTGGGAAACAGATACACTGAAAGAAAGAAGCATAACGGACATTAGATGAAATGTAAACATACGTCTTACAAAAAAACTGCAAGGAACAGCTTCTAATTGTGCCACCCAAATACATGTTTATACACCGTAAAGCAAGACAATTCTTGTGCTTTATGTTTAGTTTGGTCTAGACTGGACCTCTGGAAAAGCTGTTCTGAAGCCATCATGAAAACTTCTGACTTGAGACAAACTCTGGTGAGTTTTAGCCTAAGAATATACAAAGGCAGATTACAGAGAGTAAATGGACAATAAATGCATGGCTTCCTGGTCTATTAAATCATGAGTCTCCACTGTTCATCCACTAATTGGGATGTATCAGACTTAAAAAAGAAAAAACAGCTATGAATTAGTTTTATAAAATATTTACATAAACTCAAATATAATCAAATAGAAATATTCATTAATCAAAAGAATATTTAAAATATTTGTTTGCTGGATCATTTTTCCTAATCAACTCCATAGAAAGAAGGGAGGAAAAAAAAACCACCTTATTTCACAATGCTGGTATGTGCCATGAGTGTATGCCTCCTATGCTACGTCCTGTGCTAGGCACTTTATGTACATCACTTCTTCCAATTCTCACAACTATTACCCTCATTTTCAGAGGTACAAACTAGAATCACAGAAGCTAAGCAACTTATCCAAGATCACACAGATAAATGTTGGATTGGAGATTCAAACTTAGGTCTGCTAATACATTTAAAGATACTTGAACATATGTTAAACATCAGGAATCTTTTTTCTACTTTAACATAATCTATAGCATCATGTACAGTACTTGGTATAGTAGGTATCTGATACATGTTTATTGAAAAATATTGCTAAAATAAAGAGAAGGGTATAACTACTTTAAAAATGAGAAAGTAAAATATTTTAAAGAAAAATAGTAATTGTACAGTACGTTGAGCCTCAAGGATAAACCATTTTCCATTCTGATGCAATTTAAAATTGTATTCACTAATTTGTCAAACAATTATCAGTGGTAACAACATCTATCAAAATATATCAATATGTATCACAGTGATAAAAATAATTATACCTTAAACATTTACGCTAATTTATACAAGGTTGAATTTTACTTTCAAAAATACATAATCAACAAACTTTCCATGGCAAATTAACCCTCCAAAATAGTTAAGAAACAAATTTTCATTGCCATTACTCTTTAGTTACTGTGTTGAGTACAATCCAGAAAATAGAACTGAAATATTACTATTGCCCCATGAATGAGAGACAAAACCCTAATTCAGCTTCTGTCAATGACTCTGGACAAGACACAGGCTCTTCACCTCAACTTCCTTATAACTGAAATGTGGCTGTAATAAAATGGTTTTCAAACAGCATCTCCTTAGAGCCACAAAGGTTTTAGCAGAGATCCCCGGTGGCTCTCTAAGGGGAAGAGAAAGAATCAAAAGTATGCAGGATGAGGGCTCCAGGCCTGCCAATTCTACCCCAGCCTCAAACACAACAGTCGTCTCTTTTACATACTGGCATTCAATACAAGATGTCCTTTATCACGCTTATTTCAAACAGCAGAAAATTTTTTTTTTTCCGATCACCAGATTAAATCAACATTATGAGTCTATGACTGGGAAGCAGCAGAGAAGACTTCGGAGTCAGACTGCCTGGATTCAAACCCCAGCTCTACCACTTACTAGCTCCATTGACCTTGGGAAAGTTACTTAATTTCCTGTGCCTCAACTTCCTTACCTGTTCAGAGTTGTTGTGAGGATGAAGTTAATATATGTGAAGTGCTTAAAACAGTACTTAACATATAGTAAATTCTATACAAGTGATTGCTATTAAGATGACACTGATTCCATAAACCTCTACTTCAATGATCTAAAGCAAAATTTACTGACAATATTCTTTTCAATATTAAATCTTCATAGGGATGTAGCATAGCTCATCAACAAATATATGATTATCAAAGCAAATTAAAACTTATTAAATTATTTGAAAACTCCAGAAATAAGCTGTCTAAACAGTTAAGTTTGAGGTCACTGACAATTTATCCTTTTCTGGGCCCAACATGCTTACTTTAACCACAGCAGACTAAAAAATAAAAATGCATAAACAGTTGACTGTTTCTCTCCATTCATATATTAAAAATAGTTAAAGGAAGTTGGAACTTTCCTATGAAGGTGAAATATAAAACCCTTGTGAGATATGTTGGCTACTAAAAAGCCTTTTTCTTACTGGTTGGTAGCTGGGTTGGGTACCTATTACTTTCTAAAATGGGACATACCTCTCCCTCTATATACCACTTAAAATAGGTGTCCAAATAAGCTAAAGTAACATTTCTCAATGTGGACTACAAAGAATATTATTTCTGAGAGATGAATATTAACATTTATTCCACACGAGCTTCCTTAGGTACTTTAAAACATCACATATGACGCAGCCTCCTCTAGAAAAAGACTTGAGCTAAATCTTTCCTTTCTAGCAATTTCTACTTATGATTGCACAACAAGGCTGCATTGCTAGTGCCACTATGATTATTCCCAGTTTTGTTTTCTACTCATTGACACTGGAGAACATGGTCAGACTCTAGTTTAAAAATACTCATCTAGAAATTACAGTTAACATTTTCCCTTTGCTCCTCTACCCTCTCACACCTGACTACATCCCAGAAGAGACTGACCCTGGGTTGACAACCACTGCTCTAGAATGATCCTTCTGGCTGATCCTCACCAGCCAGCCTCCCAACACCATGCATATTCTCAGTCTTATTTAACCTGTATCCCAAAGGCAAGGACTTGGAGGCTCACAGTATGGTCAATACTAGAAAATGCTTTTCATGCCTTAGAGTACATTATTTAGCATAGTGACTTTTGCCATTCTGAAATAAAAATAATTTTGGTTTCCTGTCTTACAGATATCTATGATTTATCTAACTCTTTATGTATTCCTTTTAATCTGACATTTGCATCTTTGCATTACTTATAATACATAATACATAATTACATTCTGGTTTATGCATGTTTCATCTATTGTTGATGTTACTGTACTCTGAGGCCAAATGTCACAGCTTAGAATACTAAAAATGTACTATTTAAAAATTTCAAATTAGCTTAATATTAATATTATAGAAAAATAAAAACATCTAGAATGAGTGGTTCCTCTGAAATACTTTCAAGAGAAGAAAAACCAAAATTAAAACATAACTTACTTGATTGTCTGCAAAAACCGGACTCTGTCATTGATCTCATCTGGGATCTTACTGAGAATTTGTTTAAGTGCTCGTGCCTTTTCATTTAGGTCCTGGAACTCTGGCTCTGGTCGTTCAATCATATATTCTGATAAAATAAATACATTAACAAAAAACAATGCAACTCCCTGCCAACTTCAAGCTTAAGAATTCTCAATGTTAGTCACAGAATGAGGGAAAAGAAAAAGAAAGACCAGATAATTAGGAAAGACAATGTTGCAAGGCAGAATTCGTTAGAGTTCAACTTAGTTCAGTAATAATGTTAGGGCTTCCTCCCAGTAGGATATCAGAAAATAAAAGACTAAACATTTTCAATTCTGGGTAAATGGAAATTCTACTTTAAAAAAGGGGCAGGGGCTTAACCAAACTCACTAGCCCTCTGAAGCTACATTTTATAAGGAACCCTTAAATGAAGTGATAATACTCATAATGAATGCAAAGGTAGTATCACTAAGTGGAGAGATGAGTTTAATGATTTAAAACCCCTATGTTGAACATTCAGTGGCTCATTACTGATGTAAACCCCCAAATTCAACCAACTAGAATCTTCAGCACATTCCTGCTATCTCACTTAAAAACAAAAATAACCACCACCATGAATCCAACACAAGGGCTGGGATCACAAACAGTGACTTTGGACAAAAGGTTCAATCTTCAGTTGCACCAGGCAGAGGCAAAACAAGTTCCCTACCGGATTCACTGTAGACTTAGGATTGTAACTCATCAATTCACTGATATATTCTTGCCTAACAGGCTGCAAATGCTCAAGTCTAGAATAATGATGAGGACTTTCTTATAAATGTTAAAGATTCTGCTTCATTACAGTTACAGAATCAGTTAAAATATCTACTTTTTTTTCCTCCCTTAATAAAATTAAGAAAAATTATCCTACTATATTTTCCTAAATTTGTAGGAGAATGGCTACTGAACTTACATGCAATTCATTTCTAATTATTAGAAAAAAGCAAAAAATGGGAAAAAAGGAGTGTTATTATATTGCTCTCCCAAATCTGTGCTTGAAAAAAAAGTATCATGCTACGCTAAAGTAAAAAACAAAACAAAGTAACTCATGTCTTTCACACTGAAGTTTACTAACAGCAACACAAAATAAATTCACCATTTTATAGAGTTTATCTTTTAGTCAAATATTAATAGGGAAAAAATAAAGCATGAAGCATAAACACCACAAGTAATGAAATCTGACAAATATTAAACAAAAAGCAAGAACTACTTTACTATTTTACATAGGTTTGTTTTCACCATTCCAAAAAATGAGAAGAATGAACGAGAAGGACGAGGAGCATGGGAAAGAGGGTGGGAGGGAGGAAAGGAGGAGGAAAGGAAAACAGGGAAAGAAAGAAAAAAAGATCCTTTTGTCAAATAACCATTCAGAGGAAAGTGCTTTTTAACAATCTTAAGATATCTGATACCTTCTACATCATCAGCTGCCATACGAAGAAGGGATTCTGTGAAGTTAACTTCTACACTTTTTTTCTCTAAAATTTTCATAATGATGTCTTGTGTGAGACCTGGATTTTCTTTTTCAGCCTATAAGAAGGAGAAAGCTAGTTTTGAAAAACAGAAACTAAATGAGGATTTTAAAGCCAAAAACTCAATTGTATGAGAATCTGTTGAGAACTTCTTAGACTGACCAACTTATAAATAAGGGTAGAAATCTTTGTAAATCATATGCCATGCTGTCATTCATTTATATTTTGTTATAGCCTGGGCATCAGCTACTTTCTGCTACAGCCATCATTCCATTTTCCATCTGAACATAAAGTACTTTACATTTCCTACTTCTCCTTTACTCTCTTGCAACTGAATAACACAGATAGGAATAAAGGTTGTATTTTTTTGTTATCCATCAGTTACTCTTTTCATTATTTTAAATACATTGAACATTTTAGAATCTTCTTTCTTAGGTAGTAATTGAGGGACCAGCAATGACTGATCTCTCCAGTATTTTGCAGATCATTTGCATTTAAACTAGGAGAATGCCAGGAAAAAACAAAAAAGCAAAGTTTCTTTTGCTGAAGAAGCTTACAGTCCCTTAACTACCTTCCCACACAATGATTTTCATTTCCTTTTTTATTTTTTGTAGTAAGAATATTCCCTTCACTAGTTTTCAGAACATCATTAATCCCTTAACTACATCCTGAGTTTGTTTCACTAATGAGTTTGCACTGATTCTATGTTAGACTCCCTAGGGCACTAAAGCCTTCCAGTCATTCCAAGACTGAGCACAAAGAGCTCTGAGTTTACCAAAGTTAATTACCAGATATTTGTTTTCCCCAGTAATTCTGTTCCATTTTATTTTTTTAAAATTTTCTAATCATTCTCCAAGTTTGTTTCTTTTATGATGCCTGTCAATTTTAATCATTATGCTGATGGCTTCCTTTATTTTTACCCTGATATTAAATAGCAAATAGAAACACAATTTATTATCTTAATCAGATAGTGATCTATTTGCTTCCTTATGTGTCAAGCACAACTTAACCTCTGCCTCTTCAATTCCACTCTGATATCACTGCAGATACAGCTTTATTCTGTTCCTACTGCTCTTTCCATTATAACATCTTGTTTCGCATTAGATTTCATGTATCAAAAAATGAAAGGTTGTGGAATGAAATGGGAGAAGAAAATTTACACATTTATCTCAATTCTGGGATCATTTTAACTGCTGTCAAATGTTATTCAGGGAAATCATTTTGATAGATGATTAATAACAATAAGTGTGTCCTGCAGAATTCTGCTTCTTTTACAACCTGTTTTGATCTTTGTTTCCATGGATACATTTAAGAGAGAATATAAAAAAAGATTGTCTTTAAAAGAAAAGTTGTATAAATACGGCTTAAGGCAGTGTCGACAGTATTAATTTGGTGAACTGCTGCAAAATTACATACAGTGTGCTACTTAAATAATCCAGTATTTGGTAACACAGTGATTTCTTTTCCTTCTCTAAGTAACACTGAATCTACCTACATAATGAATTACCTTGTGGGGGGTAGAGGGGAGGAAGCATTCTCTAAGTGTTTTCAGGGAATAACAGAAAAAGAAAACAAAAAACTTTCTGATTAAGCTATAATTAGGTACGGAAAGAATTAAATGCTGGAAGCTTAAGAAGAAAGTTTTCAATACCAAGTTGGTCTGAAGCTCAAAAATGCCAAAGCTGGAGCACTACAGAAGTCTCACAGATGTTACACTAAAGGCACAGTACCCTTAATGCCAAAAGAAATACCTAACAGTGCTATTTATTAAGTTAGGCAGGCCCAAACAACTTAGCAAGTACTTATGTCCTAACAACTTAGTAACCTTAAAAAAATAATAAACATAAATTGAAATAAAAAATATTTTATTTCATTCTTAACCATAATTACTTATTAATGGAATGTGTGTGAGTGTTAGAAGCCCTGGTGGTGCAGTGGTTAAGAGCTTGGCTGCTAACCAAAAAGGTCAGCAGTTGGAATTCACCAGCTGCTCCTTGGAAACCCTATGGGGCAGTTCTACTCTGTTCTGTAGGGTCACTTTGAGTCGGAACTGACTCGACTGCAATGGATTTGTTTTGTTTTGGTTTTTTTTTGGTGTGACTGTTGAGCATTGCACAAGTTCTCGAACACTGGAAATCAGATTACACATTTTTATGCAAATAACACACACATTATACATTTTTTTTTGCCAACCACGCAACTCCCTCATACATTCTTTTTCTAGGCTCATTATACGCTTTATATGTGTGGACACATTATTTACATAGATGCGTTATTTGTGAAAAATACGGTGGCTCCAGCCACCTTCATTTCCTGTTGCACGTTGATTTTCATGTGGTACTTGCTTTTTTATCACAGCAACTACCAAAAGTCCAGCTTCACAAAGATATGACACCATCAAAAGGAATGTAGCCCAATCTAATGTTGAAACTACAAACTACCTGAAGCTAGCGGTTTTACTCAGCATCCAACAGATGTTGAGTATCACTGTTTCCTTCAAGAATTTAAAAGTCTATGCACCCCTGGCGGCACAGTGGTTAAACCACTCGGCTGCTAACTGAAAGGTCGGCGGTTCGAACTCACTAGCTGCTCCGCAGGAGAGAAACGTGGCAGTCTGCTCCAGTGAAGATTTACAGCCTTGGAAACTCTATGGGCAGTTCTACTCTGTCCTACAGGGTAGCTATGAGTCAGAATTGACTCAGCAGTGGGTTTGGTTTTTGGCTTTATGCACCCCTGTAAATTTGGTGTGGGTCCCCAGGGTACCTTGTTACATAGTGTGGGAACAGCAGTCTCAGTATCTTCCAGATAAAGTCCTGGTAAAGTTACTTACTTTTAATTTTAAAAGCCTTAAATTTACCCAATGCCTCTGACTACCAAAACAAAGAGGTCTGCCCTTAACGCACAGACTCAGCTATCAACACCTCCAGGTTTCTCCCCAGAATACAGCTTTGAGCTCTGTGGGCATCCAATCTTTATGAAGAAGCCAGCTGTGAGACCAAATACCCCACAGGCAGTTAACAAGCACTACTGTGAATCAGGATTCTCAACCTAGGAGACAGGATGACCTATTAGAATCTCTCAGGGGAATGGGTTACAAGGGATCAGGTAGAAAATACATCTAGTTTAACAGGTAATATTCAATAGTATTACTTTATCTTGGTAAAAACTAATTTAATACTTTTCTTTTTCTCCGAATAGCAAAGACAGCAAAGCTTGAAAAAATCACCATTGTTGTGGGCCAAGAACAGGAAATATGGATATAAAAGATTTTCTGGTCCAGTGAGGTTTTTTAAAAATCTCTTCCAAGAAAGTTACGGTTTAAAAAACATTAAAAACTTCAACTTTTTAACACATGCCCTCTTTTAACATCATGTGAGATTTCAACATAAATTAAATATGGTAGTTAAAAATCTAGTAATGTAATAGTGATTAATTCATTTTCTTCTAAATTAACTTCCGCTTCCCCCAGTTAAAAACTAGTGCTGAGGACAATAAAATTTTATTCATGAATCAAACCAGATCTATCATAGCCACATATTTTAAACACATTGTTTGCTTTTTAATTGTACTTGAATTTTAAATCATCAGTCTATACATACGGATATTAAAGAAAAAGCCTCAAGAAATTCATTATTTTATGAATATCACTGAGGATACCACCTACTTCTTCAAACAAGGTCCTCTTTATGAGGATCCACAGGAGAAATTTCTCTCTGTTCTCAGTATCAGAAAAAGACGAAAAACTGATTTTTGGCTTATTGATACTATATTGTGTAACAGATCAGGTTTCTGTCTTTTCTTTGGCCATCAAGATGCTTTAGATAGTCACTATCATGCCTCCACAATGACCAACACGCCATTCAAAAACCATACTAATACTCAAAAAAGAAAACAAACAAAAAATATCATTATCATGTCGCTTTGTTAATTTTCTTTATTAACCCAATATATTGGCAAGATGTTATTTTAATGATGCTAGTATATATGTACATACACGCTGCACTTCATAGAGTTGTAAACATATCAAAATAGCTCTAATTCAACATATGTAATGTACATTTTTGTGGTAAAATGCTAAGAAAGATGTCAAGTGGTATTAAGTTAGAGTGCTATCAAAAAAGTAATCTCATGAGCTATAAAAAGAAATCAAGCTAGATGGATCTGTAGTTTCAACTCAAATAAAACTTGACTATAATTTTATTCTAGATAAAACATTAAAATCTCCCTGAAATACAGGAAAAACTTTTAGCTATTGATGGAAACACAAACACAAATAAATAAAAATTAAAAGTTTGGAAACATATATTCTTAGATGCTTGGGGGGAGACAGTTCTATACTAAAGAATGTACTCAACATGTAAAAGAGCCTCTAGAGTACAGCTATCCAACAGAAATACAATGTGAACAACAAATAAGAGCCACCTCTGTAACAAAATTTAAATTTTATACTGATTACCTTAAAAAAGTAAAAAGAAACAGGGAAGTTATTTTAATAATATATCAAAAATATTGTCATTTCAACATGTAATCAATTTAGGATAACTATGACCGAGATAGTTTATATTCCTTCTTTTTTGCACTAAGACTTTGAAATCTTTTGTGTATTTCATATGTAGCATATGTCTCAACTAGCCATATGTTACGTGATCAATAGCAAACATGTGGCTAGTGGTTACTGACTGAACAGCTCAGGTTTACAGACAATGAAAAAATTCATTTTGAGTGATTTAACTGTACATTCTCTCAAAGTACCCTTAATCCATCATACAGAAAACCAAAACCCCGTTGCCATAGAGTCGATTCCGACTCATAGCAACTCTACAGGACAGAGCAGAACTACCCTATAGGGTTTCCAAGGAGCAGCTGGTGGATTCAAACTGCAATCCATCATACACAGAGGACTTACTTTTCCACTCGAAAATATTCTTTTTATACTTTTGCTCCGAAATTAAACGACATAAAGAATATCTTTTTGAATTATAATTTTACAAATAAATTTTTAATAATTCAATAATACACTCTAAAGCTAACGAGAGAACACTATGAGGAAGTCAGTTTCAAAAGCATCCAATCACAAAAAGATGAATGCTAAGGAAACAGCATTTGCTCCAGTTCACCTTTTGGAAGTGTTTTAAGCTTTACAGAATAGACTAAAACAGGCATCCCCACTGCCATCGAGTTGACTCTGACTCACTGCGACCCTACAGGACAGAGTAAACTGCCCCATGGGGTTTCCAAGGCCGTAAATCTTTATGGAAGCAGACTACCACATCTTTTTCCCACAGAGCGGCTGGTAGGTTTGAACCGCTGACCTTTTGGTTAGCAGCTGCACACTTTAGCCACTGTGCCATGGCTGAAAAGATTTTCCACTAAAAGGAGATAAACTGACAATTATCACATGGCATTCAGATTTATACATAACATACATTTTAATCATCAAAATAAATTATTCGCTTCTCACCTTAATGAAAGCCGCTCTCAGTGTCTGAGCTGCAGACAGATTTACTCGTTCTAGCTGCAATATAAATTTAAAATCATTATTAATATCAATTTTGGGGAGTAAAGCACATTTCTGATACTGCATTCTGTAGTAATCACACTGAAATATCCATCATTCAATTAATAAAAATACTTATTAATGACTCTAAACCACCATAATTCTTCAAACAGGCTAGCTAAAATTTTCATTAAGGACCATGAAAAATTAAGTTAATGTATTGGTGCTTTATTCCTTAAAAAAAAAAAAAAAGACATATTTTACCTTAAAACTAGGGTTTTATTTTATTTAAGATAAGCACAGAATGTAAAGTAACACTATCACACAAAAAAACCAGTTCCTATAGAAAGAATAAACATATTTACTTGAACTATTGAAAACAGAGAGCATTCAAGGTTAAACTCTCAATGCTTTATTATCACAATAATAGTTTTGCTAAGCAAATACATGGCAAGTGTGTGTGTGTGTGTACAGTATTAATGAACATTTATTTTTTTAGATTCTTTCTCCTTCTACTTATCACCTTTCTCCTTTTAATTTGCTTTTGAATTTCTCAGCCAGGAATTAAACTGAGATTAGTCTATGTTTATTCATTAGCAAATAGCTATGATAAAAAGTTTGATATTCAAACTGAAGACTAGATCATCTATGGATTTCAGACATTCTTATACCTGTTCTCTATATTTTCAGGATTAAGAATTGGTTACCTAAAATAGTGAATCAAATGTTCAACCCAAAGGCTCTTAATTTTTGTATCTAATGTGAGGTTTATAATTTCAAAAGATAAATGTTCTTATTATACACTTTGTATAATTCATTTTTCAGCAAGCCAAAGAAGGCATACAATTTCATAAAAAGAACCCTATTTGCAGAAGAGCTAACAGCCAAGCTTAAAATATCCACTAGCTTTGGTAAGATCAGATTTCTTAAGTCTCTAAGGACTGGACTAGTTAACTCAATTGTACATATTTTTTATTTGGGACAATATTAAAATGTTGGAAAACAATGTAACCTTTATAGATTTTTATGCAAGTGGAATATTTCTACAAAACCTTATGAACATATATTATACTATGCAATAAATATTCCTTTCAATTCCTTGAGGCAATGAAAGTACAAGTTTTGCTTTATACATGGCACTAATATATACACATCTAGGGAAACTCCAACAACTTTAAATCAATTTATTTTCTAAACAAGACATTCAGAATTGCCAACAATCTTACTTCCCTAAGAGTTATTCACCTTAAACATAAGGCAAAGGCAACAAAATCTGCCAAGATAAATAATTTATCTCCAAAAAAAACAAGTCAATTTAACTTGTTTAATTATAGTGAATACTACACAAGATTTTTTTTTTTTTTTAAAAAAAAGCACTACAACAGCTGACAAGTTCTTGTTGTGCAAGAGGAGGCAAGGGTAGACAGACAGGATAAACGTTTCCACCCTGATATGAACTCATTTCCTTATTTGGGTTTACACCACACTCTGACCTCTTGCAGCAAGTAAAAGGTCTGAGTCAGACATGTGCATTATTGACTTATTCTCCACTGCCCTGCCTGGTATGTTTTAAGAAAGGGTCAAGCAGGTAAAAGAGGCTAAGAGAAGTCAGTGAAGAACTAATAAAATTATCCAAGACAGACATCAATATCTCTAGATTAAGTGTACATATGTATACCTTAGAAAAGAAAGGGAAAGTCACAGGAAGTTAAAACATACTACACCAAATCTGTGAGCTACGAAGCATCTCACTAGAACTCTGGTGGGAGTCATTTTGAGATACATTATATATATATACATCTTTCAATAAATCCAGTAAGCTTTCTTATTCATTATGGTATCAACACTGCTCAGTGCAATGTCAGGAACACAAATACATATTTTTTAAATCAAACTTTATCTTTGATTAACAAATCTCTCTAAATCCTTCTTGAATCTATAGTTTTAGCCTGTACTCCTTAAGTAGCAAGATATGTTTCTTCTCTCTCATATTAAAAAGTACTTCTTTCTTATGTCTCTGGCCTGCGATACAATATCTAATAACAGCTACTATTACTAAGCAGCTAACCAAATGGTCGGCAGTTTGAATCCACCAGTCGCTCCCTGGAAACGCTATGGGGTAGCTCTACTCTGTACTGTAGGGTCTCTATGAGTTGGAATCGACTTGACAGCAACAGATTTGGCTTGTTGGTATTTACTAAGTACCTACTATGGATCAGACACTATATAGAGCATCTCTAACCCTCACAATAAATCAGTAGCTAATTATCATCATCTTCATTTTACTGAGGAAGAAACTCAAGTTACATAAACTTGCCTGATGTTATATAGCTAGTCAGTACAGAGCCAGGATTCATACCAGATCTGTCTGGCTCCGAAACCAGTGCACAAGCCACCAATGATACCCTGCTTCCCTGTACTCACCCTGTACTCGCCCTTTCCAGACTGGACTTTACCCTGTTCATTGAAACTCTTCAACTACTTAAGAACAAATAAATTCTTGAGTTTCTATCATGCGCAAGGAAGTCAATGTGACAGAAAAAATTAGAATATAGTCCTAGACTCCAAGAAGTTCAATCTAAGTAAGCAGCTATTGGGTGGGTTCACTGCCAGCTGAATTAGGAAGGAAAGTCTTTAGAAAGACAGGATTTGAACTTAAAGAGTGTAGCCTCTTAAAATGGTTTCCCTTGGTAGTTCTCCCAATTAGAGTTTGAGGGTTGGTAACACCTGGGACAGTAATGATTTTATGTAAGTTTGGAACAGGGAAGGATTTTCATTTTGTTTGAAATACTTTTACTAATGATGCCCAGCACTTTAGTGAGCTTTTGGGATAACAGTCTTTTGCTAGGGTACGGTTAAAGAACTAATGCAACAATTTATTAGCAGCAGCTGATAGCTCATGTACCGTATTTTGGGTCCAACTGGGGAGGAAGGAACATATGATTATACCTTGCATTGACGGATACTCGGGGGGAGTACTGTTAGGACCTCAGCCATATATATATATGACTTCCACGTTACCAGTAAAAGAGTGAGGAAAAAAAGAGAATCAGAGTGAGAGAAAAGGGTATGTAAAATTTCATCTACTTAAAAAAGAAGGAAAAGTGCCTGCTAAAGCACACTGGGAAGGAACTGAAGGATGGAGGGAGCCTAACATTTAGGTCTCACTCCCACCCCACAGTCTGCCTACTCTCAGTTTTGTGAACTCCTCCTGTCACTTATTCTTGATAGCTTTTGAGAGTATTTACTATCAACTTCAGCAAGGATGGCGAGACTTCATCTCACATACTTTGGACAGGTTATCAGGAGGGATCAGTCCCTGGAGAAGGACATCACGCTTGGTAGAGGGTCAGCAAAAAAAAGGAAGACCCTCAACAAGATGGACTGACACAGGGGCTTCAACAATGGGCTCAAGTACAACGATTCCGAGAATGGCGCAGGACCGGGCAGTATTTTGTTCTGTTGTACGTGGGGTCGCTATGAGATGGAACCGACTTGGTGGCACCTAACAACAACAATTATCAACTTCAAACTTACACACTCTGGGCAGAGCCAACATGGTACTACAGACAGAAGCACCACACTGTCCCTCCATGGCAAAGACCCAAAAAACTAAGTAAAACAGAGACAAACATCAATCCAGGAACTCTAAGCATCAAATGAAGAGAGAAAGAACTCAACCAAGCACTGAATGGAATAAGAAACTGACAGAGAACAGAGAGTGAGGAGAGATACGAGCGGAAGTCCCTTATCAGTGAACACAGCATGGATTTGCCATCTTGGACTCCTGTCAGAGATAGGCGGACAGGGAGTACGGGAAAGCAGCTTCACGGAGCTCCCAGCAGAACACAAAGCACCTGCTGGACCTGCCCTGCTGCACCATAGCTGAGTGACTGGCCCTGCCCACTGGACAAGGAGCTGAAAAGTATGGTGCCCACAGACGAGCAAACAAAGAATGCACAGCCCGTGTGCTCAGACATAACCAAATAAAACAAAAAAGCAGGACGAAACAAACAAGTCTACAATTAATAAACAAAGAAAATAACCACTGAATGTCCTGAAGACAGCAGACAATGTCAAAATATATTAAAAAAAAAACAGGACAGGACAGGATGGTTTCAGTAAGCGTCCAAAATAAAACACCAGATGACTTTCCAGCAGAAGAAAAGGCACTACAACTACCTGATAGGGAATTCAAACCTCCAATATTCAGAGCTATTGAAGAGCTAAAGAAAAAGCAGACAAAAAAGATGAAAAAATAGACAAAGTCAAGGAAAAGGCAGACAAATACATGGAAAATACAGACAAAAAAATGGAAGAAGTCAGGAAAACTATACAGGAACAAAATGTTAAAATAAATTCACAACTAGAAATCATACAAAAACAATCAGAAATCCAAAAGATAAACAACAAGATTTCAGAAATGAACAATGTCATAGAAGGGCTGAGGAGCAGGTTTGAAGCAAAGCAAAACGGGAGATAAATACTTGGATACCACTTTGAGGAAAAATCAGAAAAAAGAATGAAGAAAAATGAAGACACCCTTAGAATTACGTGGGATACAATCTAAAGCAAAAACTTGCGAGTGATCAGAGTTCCAGAACAAGGGGAGAAAATGGAAAACACAGGGAGGATGACTGAAGAATTGCTGACAGAAAACTTCCCGAATATCATGAAAGATGAAAAGCTGACCATCCAAGAAGTTCAACGAACCCCATATAGGATAGACTCCAAAAGAAAATCACCAACACATATCATAATCACACTCGATAAAACCAAAGACAAAGAAAGAATCCCAAGAGCAGCTCAAGAAAAATGAAAAGTCACATACAGAAGGGAAACAGTAAGACTAAGCTCTGATTACTCGGCAGAAACCACGCAGGCAAGAAGGCAATAGGATGACATATATAAAACTTTGAAAGAAAAAAAAATTGCCAACCAAGAATAATATACCCTGCCAAACTCGTTCAAATATGATGGTGAAATTGGGACATTTCCAGATTAAACAGAAATCAAGG